TAAGTCGAACACCCAACCCTCAACCCCCCAAACCTTACAACTTCGCTAGACTAGCTACGTCTCCGCTACATCCTCGAAACATCCTCCATCAAGTGTACTTCAATTCGCACAATAGCTGAACTCGACAAAGGTGTGAATCTTCTTTTAAACAAGATGGTCTACGCCATCGAACTCTCCACGACCTCCCGCCCCTCCTCCTCTCCAGAGAAACCTCCTCGCAGACATTCTTGCTATCGTTAAGAGGAAAAAAAGAACCCGCCGTATGTGGTAAAAACATCGTGATTCCGCACACCGTACTAAACTAAACGCCCTCCAGCGAGAAATTAAAACTCGCCTAACCGAATTTTGCAGAGTCACCTTCTACGATTATATCGCTCAGGCCGAAAGGTACTTGGAAAGTGATCCGCTCCTCACCTCCCGCTGCTAAAATAAAACGGCTCCGTTCACTTCAGATGAGGAAAAATCTGCAATTTTCGCAGAATTTCTCTGTCTCCGGAGCTTCCCACTTCCCAGTCCTGTTGAATTTTCCGACTTTCACGAGCGAACCAATGCCGCCTCCCAAAACTTCGTCTCAACTGTTTCTGAATTTAAACACACGTCCCGTCGTGAAATCTTCCTCACAATCTGATCTCTGAACAAGAGAAAATTCCCTAGCGTGGACGGAACTCCCAACGATGTCCTAAAAGTTCTGCCATCAAAATACATAACCGCACTCTGCATCATTTCTGACAACCTAAACAAGCACCGTCACACTTCCGTGCTTCTGATCTACATTCATTTATCCCCAAGCAAACTCGTCCCCCAAGGCTCCAAGCTGTCACCCTTTCTGTTCAACTTTTTCTACGCAAGCCGTCCCATCCCTCAATCGCCCTGTATAATTGGTATCGAATATGGAAACTCTCCAATAACAAGGCCAAGTCGGAAGCAATTTTTTTATCCCGTAGGACCCGAAAACCTCCCGCCATCATCGTTAACAACTACCTCATCAAATGGAACAACTCCGTTACTTACCTCGGTGTCGCCTTTGACAGAACACTGACATGGCGAAAGCACATCCTTGCCACCCGTGGCAAGGGCCTTGTCGCCTTTATCTACCTCAAACCTTTCTTCCAAAACAGCTCTATTTCCCATTAAGCAAAAATCCGTGCGTTCAACGCAATCATCAGAAGCATTTACTCCTACGTCATCCCCATCTGGGGCTGTGGAGTCCCACCGCCTACAAATTCTTCAAGGCACTTACATGCGGATTCATCGTTTCTCACTCAACTATTCCTGGTTCATCAGAAATACCCAAATTCTGAAAGAAATTGGTCTACCTTCACTCCCTGAAGCTGCAGTTAGGTTCGCGGGTAATCTCAGAGCCTCAGTGTCAGGTCACCCGAAACCTGTCCATCTCGACACTTTCCGACTTCGCCCCTAAACCAAACGACCGTTTCAGAAGGCCCTGCGACCTTCTACTCTGAGGTGCTTCCATTCCGCTCATTCCTACTTTCGTTTTTTTAGCGCGAGTGCCCATCCAACTCATCCGAGATGGCCCACCAATTCCCATTTCATTCTTCTTTTCGCCCAATGTTTCCTTCCTACACTCATTCCCCTTCCCGCTCCGAACCTCTTCCCATTCAACCTTCCCTTTTCTAAATTCTAAATAGTAAAAAAGTTTGTGCACTATACATATAATTAATTAACCAGCCTGAAAATATCTAGACGACATAATTATTCTTTCAGAAAACATTGCGGAGGATTTAGGTAAGCTAGGGGAATTGTTTAATAGATTTACACTGCCAAACTTAACTTTAAAATTGAAGTAGTGTATTACGTCGAAGAGGGAAAATCAAGGGCATTAAGTGAATTTCCAGTACCTACCAACAAGCATGAAGTGCGTCCATTTTTGGGATTAGCTAGTTTTTTCAGGCGGTTTGTAAAAGGATTTGCGATTTAAGTCAGACCAATGAAGAACAATAGCAGTCATTCGACTCAATCAAATCAGCCTTAGCAATAGACGTATTATGTGTTTACAGTCGCAAGGCTTATAGCGAATTACATACGGATTACGAACGATTTGGTGGCGGCTTTATTACAAAACCACGATTCAAAGTAGGTACCACTCTTACGAATTGGAATGTTATGTTATTAGATATAACTGTCGTTATTAAGACCGTCTGTAACAATTTATTACTTTCCACTTACACCCGAAACACTTTTCTTTTCTTTTTTAAAGAACTTATGGACGCGCAATTATGATACTTACATATTTAGAACCCGCAAACGATGTACAATTTATTGGTAAAGTTTGAATCAGTGGATTATTTATATCGGCTGCTAGTCTCACAGGACATACTTGCGGCGTCACAACCGGATAAAGTTTTGCTGTGTGTAGTGCTGCCCTATTCGGCCGAAGTGCGAAAACACCCTCATTATCGATCCGCAACGGCCGCGTAATTAGTTCTACTTCTGTATGTGCTCTTTATTATTCATGTTTGTTGTTTTGTGACCACGTGCTTTACCTTCTTTATATTTTTAGTCTTATTAGTTACGCAGCGTTGCTGTTTTGATTTTTATACTCTGAACAAAACATCATTGGAGTATTAGTTGGTCCATTATATATGTTATTTCTTTCATTCTCGCAATGTTTTCCGAATACCTACTGTGCAAAAGAATTTCCTACTTGAATTTTCATTCTCTATCTCATAGTGCACCGTTTATACGGTAATTTTTGGACGTGGGCTACCATGGCTATCGTCCTTAATAGTGGAGACAGAAAATCAGTAAGTAGGTAAAGTGGGCATAATTTTCTGCTCATTAATATGCCGTCGAAAATAGTCGAATTCCTACTAATTTAAAAGTTATCACAAAAAACATGAAACACGTTCTTCTTCTTCTTCACTTCTTTAGTTTTAGAGTAATTGAACAATATTCTATTTACATTCTTAATTTTTGATTTTTGTATATGAGTCCTTCCTTTCATCCATTTATTCCCGATAAACGGAAACTTCAAGTTTATAAGTGAACGTTATATTGAATTTTGATTTGATTTTTTTGGGAGAAATGTGATATCTTCCTGACATGCCCATTGAATTATTAAACTGAGATAAACTGCTTTTTCAAAAAAAATTTTGAGAAATAGCATTTACACGCGAATAGAAGATCTGATTTTAGATTGCATCCACGTCTTTGTGGTAATACATTAGTGAGAAAAATTCAAGAGGAGATGCGAGTTGAAAAATCGTCGGTATCCAGAATTTTGAAAAAACAGGTATCCATATGGTCATAATGTCAACCAGGAGTTCCAAAAGGTGGCACCCTCCTACTGGCTTTAAATTTTTACCATACAGTCCTTTATAGACTAGATGATGATACCTGAAAGGACTTTTGACTGCTTGTACCGGAAAGAAATAAAATTTCCCGTGATGAAAACTTAAACTTACATTTCTCGAAATGGAAGCTGTTATATTGACTTCAAAATTTTTAGCAGATAGTATTCCTTAAGGTAGGATTACATGTTTGAATGTGGGTTAGGGAAAGTCCATTTTCATGTACAAACCAATAGGAAATTAAATTAACTATTGGACTGACTGAAACATATATGTATGCATGTAAGTTGAAATACTCATCCAGCTATATGGATACAGTGCCTGTCTGGCATGTGTGTTCCTGGGTTCTGTACCTACCCGATGGAGTTGTTTTTTTTTCTGACGTTTTGTTTTTAATATGTTTAGTTTAGCTTCTTTTGATAAAATTATAAATACACCATACATTTTGGACATTTGTTGACCTTGGTTGAACATGAAACGCAAAGGATTTTTGGTGCAAATGTCCCTTAACATGTTTATGATGGTTCAAAAATTTTACTTTATATAGTCATTTATTCATAGGGGGGGGGGGACTTTTTTTAATGGCATCTTCCTTCGTAATTTTAAATTATTTTAGTCAAAGAAAGAGAGTGCCGTTTTTAAAAAACGCTTTCAAATATGAAAGTAGTAGGTACTTATTCAATTTCTAAAAAAAGCATTTCATCTGCTGAATTCAGAATTTGGAACCGCACGAATACCAGAGCATCGTTGTAACCAATGAACGGTGCATTTTGCTGTGTAAAGACCTAAACTTATCTATATCCCCAAAAGTATCATTATTTAGTCCATAAAAGAGTATGTGATAAAAATTTGAAGAAAATCTATGGGAATTCCCTTTCGGAACTCCAGCTTTTTCTTTTTTAACTACTAGAATCGGTCAGTTCAACCTTGCACGTTGTGTGCCCACGTCCTTACATTCAGAGTTTTATGAAATAGTTTAAATGCTATTCACGTGAAAAAGCGTCAAGAGGACTATAGTGAATGATCTAGAATGCACTAATAACAAAGAAGACCATAGTCTCCAGAATTTATATCCTGGAGTGGTGGTGTTGTTGAAGATTAATCATAAAATATAAACTTAATAAAAAAGCGTAAATACAATTTATCGATTACTCTAAAAATAAAGTAAGAGCCCAATTTTGAAATAGATGTGTTTCAATTTATAACTTCTAAACTAGTAAGAATTTGACCATTTTCGACTCGTCATCTTAATGAGCAGAACATTTTCACTAGTTTGCCCAATTTACTGAGTTTTTATCTATGTTTCTACCATTACCGATGATGAGACAGTTGGTTTATAAAACACTAATCGTAAGCCAAAAATCTACATAAAACGATTAAATACATAAAACGCGTTACGATACCCAAGGTGTTATCCTCAGTTAAAGACTGAATTAATCTAAATTCCAAAGCTTATTCCATACTTAATTTGAAATTACGCATGAAAACAATTTTGAATCTGTTAAAGAGAGGGTTCCGTACTAGCAGGCGTAGTACTTGTTAGCTTTCCAAATTCAGATGAAGCGTATTTCAGAGTTCTAACCGTTTTTATGTGGAACTTTGGGCTTAAGTGTTTTATTTAGTTCATTTCCTCAGACTTTCGTTTCGTTTCTGTTACTCCTAGTATATTTATTACTACTTTAATCTTACTTGAATTTGGTGCTAACGAGTATTTCAGTTCTGCTTTCTTAATTGAATTGTGTATTATTCCAGTGTAAAATACACTATTCGCCGATAAAAGTGCTTCAATGTGACGAATTTCGTTACTCTTGTTCTTCATTTTAACTATCAAATTGAAATCATCACCGATATTGATAAGATCTAGTTCTTCTAAATCAAATTCAACATCACCCAACTCCGCATCTGGTAACTCATAAATGCTAAAAATAATTCGTCGTCAAATGGGCTAGGTAGATTATTGAATTAATTATCATAAGAAACGAGAATTCTTACACTTTTCCAATATGAGAACTTCTAACGGCATTTAAGAGGGATAATCTTTCCGCTTTGCTCCCTTCTTTCGATTTGTACTGTAACGTAACATCTTCTCGGTCTCGATCGCCATTTGGATCATACATAAATGGTTTCTTTGTTAATATGACACGACCAATACTTTATTGCAAAAGAAAGAACAATTTTATTCATGGCATAACGGTGTTTCAAATTCAAGGTTTGTGTGCTATAACTTGTCATATGAAACATTTTTTGAAAGGATTCTAGCATAATTATGTTGACGACTAATTCCATAAAAAGAACAATTAAACACTAACATTACTTACTGGTATTTATTACAAGAAATTTTTGAATATCCCAAATCGCATTCTGGATTTCTTTTCCAACGCATTATATCGGCATTAACAGCTGCTATCATAAAGGGAACATCGTAATTGCAACCAATTGCACCGTTCTTAATGGCATACACTGAAGCAGGACCGCATTGATAGACGCTGTCTGAAGTTTCCTGAGGTGTTGCATCTACTGCTTGCCAACCACCATACCCTAGTGAATAAATCATAATGTAACAGAATGGTATTAGGTATCACGTCTAACTTATATTTTATAAAATTTGCTTCAACTTACAAAAAATGTACAAATAGATGTTATATTATACGTTTTGTTGATTTAAATAATTCATTCCTTCCTGGGTAAAACAATAGATATAGTTTTCAAACTCACCCTCAGGTAGATCAGGCCTGGTCATCCAAACATCATTCCACACGTGAAAATTCCAAATTGAATCAGTATTATAGTCTTCTAATTCTACATTTTTTTCATCAAAATATTTGTCAATAGTGATAGTGGAATTTGAGTCATGTCCAGAAACAAGGTTTGAAACAACCCTTGAGGGAATTCCCAAAGCCCTGCAAACTAAAGTTTTGAATTAGAAATTAGGTATTTAGTGTATTTCGGAAATCAAAATTCATTCTCACTTTCTTTTTCTATTTCGCATACAATACGGTTAGCACTACTAATATATCAAACAGTTTTCTGTATATTTCGCAATTATCTTAAAAATGGTCTCAGTCTCGCGTTGATAATGCAAAAAATCATTTGTGGTAATTAGGGGTGAGTATTCCTTTTAATTTTTAGTTAATATTTACCACAGTCTCCTCTTTCTAATTCGCAATTATCGTTTTAACTTAATATAAATAGCTTCCAAACTGATCGAAAGGCTCTGTTTTTTTAGTCAATATCCAATAAACTGCTTTGTTAGATAGTTCTAACGATGAAAATAAAATACTTAGGCAAGTATACTAGTTGAATACCTCTATGTCTAACTCTCTATATTTTACAGATTGTTCTTTTGGTCTACCTGTTGTTCATTATTAGGATTATTTTTGTCTCGCACCAGTTTTATGGAACGACACTTGATGTTCCAAACATACACCTTTAACGATCATTTTCGAATTTCTAAATTAACCATTCGCGAGCTTAGAAGTGGCCTCTTTTTATTGAAGGCGATTTGACTCTGTGCTATCCTCTGCATTATATCCCTATCACTCCCTCCGTCCTGATTGACCTGACTTCCTAGATAATGGAAATTAGCCAGTTTTTCAAATTTTTCGACTCCTATTTTTACCCTCGCTCTTTCCCTACTTTTTATTCCCTTGCATACCAGTACTATTATTTTACTTTTATTTATCTTCATACAATACTGTTTGGTCAATACCGCTTCCATTTTATCTAAAGCTATCTTTAACTCCTCCTTACTTGCTGCTAATACTACTACATCTTCTGCAAAACTAAGTATATTTGTTGCGGAAATGCTAAATTGTTTTCATTCTTTTAGATAGTTTTATGTTTCATGTGTTCGACTACTGTATTATGAATCATATCGTTATACTGTTTATAAAATTAGCTTTATTATGTCTTCAATATTATATGTACCAAACGCTGTTGCGGTGTTCAGAAAAAATAGTAGTCTTAAATCGGCAGTTGATTGACTCAGACCTTTACCTTTACTAATAATATTTTTGTTAATTGTGAAATAAATTTGTCTTGTTGTTGAAGTGCTGCATTTTCACTACGTCCGAACTGATGTACAAGATTGGACGGGTAGTTTTTTCGAGTACACAACAATATATTAATTCTTTGTTCCTGCATATCTATCCTTACAGTTGTACTGTTCTTAATGACATTGATCGCGTCTTTGATATATAAATTAAAAAGTAGCGGTGACAGTGTGAATCCCTGTCTGTCTCCTTTTCTAAAATTTGCTACTCTACGTTGCTGCTCCAGCTCCATAACTGCCTGTTGCTCTTTGTACAAACTAAGTATCACTCTTCTATCTCTGTAACTCATCCCTACATTTTTAAGTATATTTAACATTTTGTCTTATTAAACATTGTCAAAAATTTCTTTTAAATGAACGAATCCTATGTACGCACGCTTTTTTTTCTATCGTTTTCTCTATTACTACCCATAAAGCTAGAATGAACTCCCGCGTCCCACTATTTCTTCTAAACCCAAATTCATGTTCCCTTAATAGTTCTTCCGCCTCTGTACAATTCTAGTTAAGATTTTTGACGCACGGGAAGTTAAGTTAATCGTTCTAAACGTCTTGCACCTATCCGCACCTCTCTTTTTAGGTATGGTTACTACCACGTTCCATTTATAATCTTTTGGGGCTTTCCCCGTCTCGTAAATGTGACTAACTAGCTTAAATATACGATCTTTAACCTTTTGTCCTGAGTATTTTAGAATTTCCGCCTGTATCTCATCTATGAATGGCGCCTTATTATTTTTTAAGTTTTTTAATGCTACATCAAACTCTTCTCTCATTTTGGGATAACCTAGCTCACCTATCTCCACACTATCTTCCTTGTGTAATATATCTCTTAACTCATAACCTTTTTATTTATTATTATTATATTTAGTATTATTTCCACCTATCTGCCTTTTCCTCATTTTCTATTAAGATGACCCTTGCCTCGTTTCTTATATTATTACTACTGTACCCCATATCTCTAAAATTCCATTTAATTATATTACAAGCCTCATCGGTTTTTCATACTTCAAATTTTTCTTCTACTTCTTTACACCTCATATTAATCCACTGTTAGATAGCTGCCCTTTACTTCCTAGTTATTTCCCACTTTAACGCCTTATATCTTTTTTGCCCTTCATCATGTAATTGCTCTCTTTAGGTACCTACAATTTTATTGCAGTTCCATTCTGTCTCTATGTCTCTGTCATTCGTTTCGTTGCAAATGTACACTTAAATTAAATATGTCTTGTATCGTTTAGATTTGTTAATAATACACTAAAATTTATAGAACACGCGGAATTTTATTGTTTGAGTGAGTATTTTTTTTGTTCATTTTTTAGGTTATTTTTTTTGCAAGAAATATGTTTTTTGCACCTTCTCGATTTATAACTTGTTACAAACTAATTTATTGAGAGGCCTGCCAGGCACATTTTTCAGGAGAGATGATTATTTTAAATAAGGAATATCATGGGAATCGACAGTGGTAGTTACGGAGGGACTAATAAGACGGCAATAATAGGACAATGAAAAGTTATTTGCGAAAAACTGTCCAGCATACAAAACCAATGAAAACTTAAAAGGAAACCGTTGTCCACCCGAATATTATAGTTAATTTTGAAGTGAGTACACCGGCACGGCAACTTTAAGTAAGATCGACGCCAACGATGGAAGCACTCTTTTTCAACAATATCTCTGGAAGTTGGAAGCAGGTAGAGAGTACTTAAAAGAATTAGAACAAATAAATTCGAAATCGCGATCCACACCTCACAGTCTGAATAAATTGCTGACTATGAATAAAATATTAATTTTATTAAGTAGACTTACTTGTTGTAACAACTCCTGCAAATACCCAACATTGTCCGTAGCCTACTGGCTCTTGCGTGTCTAAAAATTTTTGTAGTATTTCAATGGAGCCACTCCATGCCGCAGGAGCTGTACCATCATCATATTCACCGTCCCATTTGCCAATCAAAATTCCATCATCGTCATTGGAATTTACAAGCTTGGAAATTACACGAACTACTTTAACCGGATCTCCTCGGCTTGAAAATAATGGGAGTAAAAATACCTATCTAGTAAAATTTTCTGAAAGACATTTGAATTTATTTTGTACCTTGTTGATGGTAGACCAGATCGTTCAAACATAAGCATTGCAGCGGGTAAAATGCAGGCATCAAATTGTCCGAAAACCCATTCTCGGCCCCTACTTGAACCATATGGACCAACCCATATCTTACCAACATCAGTCAAAATGTACTCATCAAGTAATCTCTTCTCAGGCATGCATACTAAATCATCTAAAAATAAATTTTGTAATTTACAGTATAAAAACACTTTTGTGAAATATAAAATAAAATTACTACCTATGTACCATAAAAAACATACAGGGTTTTTCACGTAACCAACCCGTTCATTAAAAGTTTTTAAATTTAAAATATCACTAGAGATTTGAAAATGCTGCAAATAACCTAAAAGCTGACGCTCCTTCTAATTATTTAAAATATTTGCAATCATTAGTCACTTCCGGTTATCCCGGAAGTCGACCTCAACTAGTTTATTTTAAATGGAATGCTATATTTTTTATGAAATTTTTAGATTCAGATAACCTTTTAAATCAACTTTGACTTTGCAACTCTATCTGAAAAATTGATAGTTTTCAAGATATATCGATTTTTCTAAAATTTTTGAAAATTGCATTCCTATGCTGAATAACGATTTATTCGCCTAATTTTGAAACTGCCGTGGCAATATTGGGTGATCAGCTATCTCGTACCCATCTCTACCTGGAATTAGTGCCTTAGATGTACAGGGTATTGAAAATCTACCGACCAACTTATAAACTTGCCAACGTGATAGGCACGTTAGCTTAATCGAATAAAATAATTCGAATTAGCCAACCTACGCCGGGAGTCGTTTTCAGCAAGTAGATATCCACACAAGTGGACCTTGTTGGAGCATACGTAATCCAAAATGTAGCATCGTGCTACAGATGGCGTTTACTGCGCCATTCGTAGTATTTTCTAAAACGCACTGTTAAGACAGCAGGTAAAAGTTGGTCTGTGTTCTATCGAAGCTGCCTGCGACGCGCTGATGAGATTCCAAAAGATCGAAATCGCGAACCGCGTCTGGCAGTTTCGACAGAATACAGACCACTTCGAATTATTTTATTCAATTAAGCTAACGTGCCTATCACGTTGAGGTTGGCTACGCCGGGATTCGTTTTCAGCAAGTAGATGTTTGAATCTTCCTCCGCTGAGCAAAACAAATTCAGGCGAAAAAAAATAAATACAGGTTGACACAAATAGAAAGAAGTGTGGATTGTTTCTGCCTATGGATGCGTGGTAAACTAAATGCTTGTGGATGCGAAGAAGCCACTTTTGTTGGACCGTTTGGCGAGATAATATTCGGGCGTACCAGAATTACTCCTATTAGTTCTTGTTATTTGAGTGTTTTTTATCGTTTTTGTTATTATTTAACTGTTGTTATTACGGTTTGCTTTCTTGGGTCCACATGTGCTTTTCTTTTGTTTCACTACGAGCTGCAATGGTTTTTTTATTTGTACTCAATTATTTCAAAGCAGTGGACACTTTGGTTAGCAATTCATGTGGATCTCTTCATGTTTAGAGGAGGCATGCGAGAAATCTTCCTTATTTTGCCGTCCTCACTCCGCATACTTTCTTTGTCTTTCTTTAGCGTACAAACGTAACTGAAACTTCTTCCTATTCTTGTCAAACTGAACACATGAATGTTAAAAATAAAATGAAAATCATACAGCACACAACTAAATAAAAGGGATAAACTATAAATGTTGCAAATGTCCTTTATTCCTGTTTAAGCACACATCTAGCCTTCGATACACTTCGTCGGTTATAACCTTCCTCACTTGAATTGAGTCTAATTCCCTGTATGTTCTTCTTAGCCTTGCTTCTGGTTCTACAGGGGTATCAACTTGGTAGTCGTACACCATGCTTTTTACATGACTCCATAAATGGAAGTCGAGGGGGGTTAAGTCGGGTAACCTAGGGGGTCGTTTCCAAGGGCAATTGTTTAAAAATGTAGACATGAGCCATCTTAAATTTCAAATATCATTCTATTATGCAGCATTAGAACAAACACATTAAAACTATTTCTATCCTGGAATTTTGACAATATAATTATGTGAGTCCTAAAACAATGTTTGCCTACTAATCTTTATATCAATAGACGCAGAATTCAATTCTACGTTCATTGATGAGAAAATGTGCAGGGTGTTTGAAAAAACAACTTAACCGTGTTCGAAGTTTTATAAGTTGGACGCTACATTTTTAATACCCAATATACATTTACCATACTAAGAGCATAACGTAAGATTGAGACAGATTCAAGATATCTGATAACCCACTATGGTTACGGTAGTTTCCAAATTAGCTGAATAATCCGCTATTTAGCATGGAAATGCAATTTTCAAAATTTTCATAAAACTCTAATATCTCGAAAACTACTAATTTTTCAGATAGAGTTGTACAATCAAAGTCAACCTAAAAAGATTCTCTGAATCTAAAAATAGCATAAAAAATATAGAATTCCATTTAGAATAAGCTAGTTGATGTCGACTTCCGTTATAAGCGGAAGTGACCCACGATTGCAAATACTTTAATTAGAAAGCGTTAGCTTTTAGGTTATTTGTCGCATTTTCAAATCTCTAGCGATACTTTAAGTTCAAAAACTTTATGTTATGTATTCTCAGTGTGGCAATCTTTAAAGGAACAGTTGCTGCATCCTTATTATTTGCAGCGAGTGCAAACCTTGCTTGAAACTGATTTTCAGCTGCGAGTGGATTTGTGTACGTGGTTTCGAAAGAAAAGTATTGCATAGTCTATTTCGTTCCATAGGATGTTTACAGGCTTTGCTTTACGTGGGACGGAATTTTGAGTAATAGTAATCACGATTCTTGCAACGTAAATTCATACATTCTTCGCAATTTCAACAACTGTTTTCGGTAAATGTGTTGTGCCAAATGTTTAGAGATTTATTTGATTTTTTTGGCAAGTTTACTTACAATCACTCCCAAAAAGGTAACGCACCTTGGCAATACTTCAATAGTGTGGAAATTTGTCTTAATAGATTTACAATTATCCAGATGATACTCATTTACCGGCTAATGTTTACGTAACTTATATTTTTTCTTTCTTTGTGTATTTTGTGTTCGTACATGTACATAGTGCTGCTGTAATCTAATTTAATTTATTTAGTCTCACCATTATGTACTAAATTTTTTATATTTATTTGTTTTGACGATAATCGTCAGTCTTTACCTTTCCATCCATGTAGCTGCAGAGTTTACGCTAATTAGTATTAGACACCTATGTTGTCAATTTATGTACAGAATTGGCTTAGGATTGTAAATTATTGTGATTTAAAAAAAGCACTGCCCTAAACTACACTGCTGAACTCACCGTACCATTGTTTATTGCATCTAGTTTACACCCTCCAAAGCTCGGCACTTATTTCTGTTATACCCTTGTATATCAAATAACAATTCTCATATAAAATAACACGTAAAAAAGGTGTCTGTACATGCAATAATTCAGGTAGGCATGCATCTATATTGATTAGGGGTTGATTATAGGTAATTTACGCAGAATCCAGGAACACAAAAAAGAAATATAGCTGCATCTGTATTAAAAAATAAGACCTTTGCGAACAGTGGCTCTACATAGTAATATTTGCTTAATTTCATTGTATGAAGCTGTAGTATGCTCCATCACAAATTATGATGAATGGCATTATTATTGTACTGTAACAGCTGCTAAACTTCACGATGCCAACTTACTGTTACTGTTACTGTTAATAGTTATATTAGATGCTACTCTACATATATTGCTTTATATAATGTTACCACCTTTGAAACCCATTACTTCCTCAGACGTTACTTCCATCGCCGAACCTATTCCCCATGGCGTCGATCCAGGTCACTTCTCTAGACTTACGCCCGGACGAAGGCCATAGTCTAACACCAACTCAACACGCTGAGTTAAATACACTGCTTCATGCATCGCATCTGTACCGAGAACCACGCTCCTGTCGCAAGCCCCCCCCTTCCGGATGAGCAGATCCCGCCAGGCCATACTTCAAGAAGAGAAGAAGTCCAGGCGCTACTCGACGCCGAAATTATAGAATAAAATGAAAGCGATTGGGCCTCTCCAGTCGTGCTGGTGCTTAAGCCCGTTGGAAGCCATCGCCTATGCGTCAATGATCGGCGACTAAATGCTGTCACCAAACCCGATGCCTACCCACTACCCCGCCCAGAAGACCTTCTGCACGCCACTGGAAATGCCCAGTATATGTCAACAATGGACCTACGGGCAGGGTATAACCAAATCATGGTCCACCCCGACGACCATTAAAAGACAGCATTCATCACTCCCTTTGGCATTTTCCAGTACACGCGTCTACCCTTCGGACTGCGCAACGCCCCTTCGGCATTCCAGCGGCTGATGGACAAATTCAAGACCGGACTAGATGGGGTACATATCCTAGTCTACCTTGACGACATGATCGTCCTATCCAGCAGTTTCACGGACCACTTCGAGGACCTACGACGCTGTTTCACGCAGCTAGCTAAATACCGCTTACGCATGAACCGTGACAAATGTCGTTTTGTGTGCACTTACGTGAAATACCTGGAACATTTCATCACGCCTAATCCTAATCCCTCATCCTGGGAAAGTCACAGCCATCCTGGAACTATCCGAGCCCAAGAACATGCGACAGCTATTGACTTTCCTTCAAACTTGCAACTGGTTCCGGCGCTTCATTCACGGATTCGCAGAGACTGCCCGACCTCTACTAACCTAACAAAAAAAAGCGCGGTGTGGGAATGGAAGAGTGATTATAAACAGGCCTTCGACAAATTGAAGAAAGCCCTCACGTCGGCACCCGACGAAAGGCCCGTGGAATATGCAAGTCGACTCCTAACGAAAGCCGAAAGAAATTATTCCATTACGGAAAGAGAAACCCTTGCCGTTGTATGGACAGTGCAGAAGTTTAGGGGATATTTGGAAGCATCCCCTGCGATCATCGTTACCGATCACCAACCGTTTCGCTGGTTAATGAATCTACGTTCCCCCAGCGGGCGCCTAGCGCGATGGGCACTTCTAATTCAACCATTTAACCTGCATATAGAATACGCACCGGGAAAGGCTAACGTAGTGGCCGATACACTTTCCCGTCCTCCAATGGACGATGACATTCAAGGTCCTATTCCGTTGAGCTTCGTCGCCATTGATGTACCCCGGAAAAGAACTCCGAGAAGAGC